TTCAAACTTTCCTTTTTGCTAAAGCATATAGTTAGGGCTGGACCAGGGGACCCTGAATCCTCCCTTAGTTATGCTGCAGTAGGTGTAGGCTGCTGGGGGATGTAATCGATTACAACCTGACTCTCTGCAGCTGCTTTTTAAGTCACTTTAAATTCTTTTAGAGCGTTAAAGTCATCTCAGCCTCAACCTCACTCTGAGCTGATAATCAGTCACTGATGGAATTGCTGTCAGTTCAATTCAACTCAGCCCACCGAACAGGCTAAATTCACAGAGCATGCTACCATGGTAACCATCCCAGAGTTGAGGTCAACTCTGTTTGCAGAGGATACAAAGATCACTTTTATCTCAGGATTCACAAAGTTAGAGTTTTAGCTGAACTTGTCAGTAAATACATGGTGACGCCAAAACAAAAATATCAGTAGAAACATGAGGCAGAATAATAAGGAAATCCCAACAGAGATCCAGGATGTTGGTGCAGAAAAGAAGACAAACTCATATATAAATGCAGGCTGTGCTGCATCACAGGTTTTCTGCTCCTTCCATAAAAGTGAGATTTCTCCCGCTGTGGACTGGAGCCCTGCCAGCTACACCTCACTACTGGAAGACCAAAGGTTCAGGCTTTTCCTTTAATTTGGCACCAGCCAGTACATTAATGAAAAAAGATGAAGTTCAGAAAAATCAGCAGAAAGTCTAAATGACGCATTTCTCTGACAGGAAACAAACCAGCTGAAGGGCTTTACCTCGAGTGTAGCCAGATATTCTTTCACTGATTCCTGGATGTATTGATAACGTTCAGCCGCTTTTTCTTCCTGCTGTGTGAACCAGTAAAACCCACCTTTTATCTCACTTTGCTCCGTTTTTGTCTGTTTTTCTCATCTGTAGCTTTGGTCGCCAGTCTGTTGTGAAATCTTTCTTCCTCTTTTTGTCACGTCTTTTCAAATCCTCTTTTCTATCTCTTCTCCTTTGTTCATTTGTCTCTCCTTTTTCTGCACCTTCAGCAGAATCACTTCTTCAGAGCCCATTGACCTTTAACCTCTGATATCAGTCAGTGCAATGGACTTTGTTTCTGTGCAAATAATGGAAACATGATAACAGAGCAGAACAACAGCACAGATAACGAGGAAATATCTGAGTCATTACTGATGTTGAATTTTCTTTTCTTCCCTGAACCAAGAAGCAAGTTCAGCATAGCTGAGATTTCTTTCCCTAACTGGCTTCTGTAACACCATCAGACGGGGGTTGTCATAAATCAACCCAGAATTTATTTAATCCAACTGTGAGCGTGTTCGCGTAAACGAGGACAAGTCTACAACATGTGACTTATCACAAACGTGGTCGGGATAGTCAAGCCACGGATTTCACAAAGCAAGATGAAACTGTGACATCGGAAAAATCTGAAGATCTTAATCATGGAGTTCAGAGCAGAACTGCAGATTATTGTTTGATTTTTCATTTCAATTCGTAGTAAACAGAAGAATATTTTTAATCACATTATTAATAATAAATGTAAACACCAACACCAGATGAATTAAATATCTCATCCTGTCGAATAAAATGCAGGTTCAAACTGTTTTGTTTTTATTTATTCCAGACTTCAGGTGATAATGAAACTTTACTCGATCAATAATTAAGAGGGTCACTCATTAATGACAGGATGAAGCTCCACCCTAAACACAAATGACCCACTGACATTTTTTAGCACATCATGCAGAACACAAATAATTAATCATTACACCAAGATCAAAACATCTCGGTCAATTAAAAAAACAAAACAAAACACAGAAAACATCCAGGAAAGAACGAAAGAAAACATGGCCGACAAGCTGAAGACACAACGTCCTGTTTCAGGACTGCAAACATCACAGATCCTAAAATGAACAAGCTAAATAAATGAGAGACAAAAAAACGATACGTTTGAGATTTGTTTCAAAGTTAAATTTCACTCTCATTGTAATTAAAAATGGGACAGCGCCGTTTTGAATTAGTGAAAGAAAACTTTTGGCATCATTTCATGTGGTCAGCTGTTTGTCTGTCACGTGTATAAACATCCAGATGACCTACCAGAGTCAGATGACCGATGACGTCATGAAATAAGGAGCCTTCATTGGTCAGAGATGAAGAAATATCTGGGGCAATCAGGGTCATATCGTCCACACTGCAGAAAAAACGTCTTTAGAATCCAGAAAGGAATTTAAATAAAGAACAAATGAAGTTCCTTAGATACCACGTAAGAGTTTTTGAGATATTTGATACGATTTAGTTTCATCGCTTTATTCAGTCATCAAATGACCTTTGAAAAACCATTCAGTTCACAGAAAAAAGACCACAAGGCTGAGATGGAAAATTTAATTAAAAAGGAAGTGAGATAATTAAAAAAAGGTGTTATTACTGGTCCAGCCTCAGCTCCTGGTCCTGCCTTGTCTGATCCTGTGGTTGCCACACCGTCATCAGTTCCAGCTCGTCCTGTTCCACCTCGTCTCTGCCGGCTGCTTTCCTGGCTGCTGGTCGGGCGTCATCGTCGTGGGCGGCCCCCAGACCCCATCCATCCATCCATTCGCTTCCGCTTATCCTTTTCAGGGTCGCGGGGGGTGCTGGAGCCTATCCCAGCTGTCATAGGGCGAAAGGCGGGGTACACCCTGGACAGGTCGCCAGTCTGTCGCAGGG